ATTAGAAACATGGAACGTCAAGCTATATTCTCTCTCCATTCAATTTTTTCTTCGACAATTATTATTATTACACAGTTATTACTCCAATAAATCTAAAAGGATGTAATCTATTAAGAACATTTTATATGCAAGAAAAGACTTACTAATTTGAATAAATCGAATCTCAACGAAGAATCGATCACGTACGATCTACATTGGGATATTAAATTAAGCAAAAAAATTAAGATATCAGAAATTAAATAAGCAAATTCGATACGAAGTAATAACAATAAGACGCCATAAATAAAATAAAATGTTAAAAAAAAGAAAATTCTATTATCCAAAATATCCTCTCGAAGAAAGACCAATTCTAATTTCAAAAATCTTAGAAATTGAACAAAAATCACCCAATCCATTACACATCACTCTTTGCAACCGAAGACGATATAAATTGAAATTAAGCAAAAGACTCGATAAAAATCACAGTAGAAGAACACAGATATCGCAGAAATAAAATCTAAGAGAGAAAAGATTGGTTTCAATTCCAAAAAATTGGTCCAACTTTCGATCGGAATCGTGACCAGACAGTTCACTCGTTCCACGTGACCAAAGAGAACATCCCTTACAATTATCACCAAAGAAACCGATAGCAGAAGAACCGTGCAACAAGAGGAGAACGCGTACCGCAGGAATGGGACGTTTCTCCCAGAATGCGAGGTAAAGATTGGAAAGTGGAAGGATTGTCGGCGTTGAATTCCTGTGGCCACCGCGCACCGTCGCTCGCGTAAAAGACGAGGCGAGAAACGAGAGCCGAGGAGGAATGTCTGCGGTGCCAGCTGCGGAAACGTAATTTCTCGCCACGTTGCCATCGGCGAAGCCTTCCGTCTCGTCCCTTCCCTTCCTAGCGGCGAACTAGCTCTTTCAACGCGAGCCGAAAGTGTCAAGCGGAGGGAATCGTTGGAACACGTCGTCGTCGTCGTCGTCCGCCACCCTTTTCCAACCCTCGTTCCAACACTCGCTTTCTCGTCCCTCGCGTCTTCCTTGTCACGCTTTTATGGATCCCTCTCGTTTCTTTCTTTTCATCTCTCTCTCTCTCTCTCTCTCTTTCTCTCTCTCTTTTGAGTTTTTCTCGATCTTGTCCCCTTTTCTTTTTTTACTTTTACTGCGTTTGCTCGATTCATTTTCTGCGCGGTTGGATCGCTTCGATTTTAATGTGTTTTTTTCTCTTTTTGTTTGTTTGATAGTTTGATCCATCTTCTTTTTGTTTGGTGGTAGTTGGTATTGTGTATCTTGATTGTAAGTCTTTCTTTTTAGAATCTGATGAATAGGTTGTTGGTAGTTGGATCATATTATTTGTTCACAGGAGTCTATTTCTATCGTATAGTTCTCTATTTTTCATTAAGTAAAATTACTTTGAAAATAATTTATTGTTTAATTTCTCTTTTTGATCTCAATCGATAAGCATATGATTCAAACCCAGGGTAAATCTTTAATTTTTAAGATTGTAGAAATTCACATTTAACTTGCTTTGATGAAAGGAATTTATTCTATCTCCTCCCACGAGATTCTTAACCGTGTTTCGAACATCACACCTCGTTTCAATTTTCGTATCCATTTGCATACCTAAAACTCGTGGAATCGCGATCCCTAATTCGGCTTAAGTGGTTCGTTTAATTAATCATCTCCTGTGGAACCGGTGGTGTTTCAGGATGGAATCATCGCCAACCCTTGTTTCATAGTTGTTGGTCGAGCACGAGAGAATTGGGTGGAGGAAAGAAAAGGCGTGGGTGGATAGTTAGAGAAGTCGAAATGGGGATTGGGAGGTGGAAAATAGGGTATGGATAGAGCTATGAAGAGGAGTTGGAAACGGTGGAGGAAGCGTGGAAATGTCGGAGGGAATTCTGGGGATTGGGGAAAGGCGAGGAATGACCTGGGGAACGAAGGAGATCCGGGGATCTCCTTTTACGCTTTCCTTCTAAAGTTGGATAGAGTTAGAGCTTTGAAAGAGATTATAATGATAGTTAGAACGTGGAAAAGGTTGGAGAGATGTGATGAGAAAAATTAAGAATAGAGAAAGAGAGAGAGAGAAAGATAGGAAAATTTGAATGGAAAATTTGAAAATAATTTAAGAATTAGAAAGTTGATAAGAAAGGAAGAGTTTAAGATTAGAATTCAAGAGGGTTATAGGATAGATGAGCAATGGAAATGAGATCAGGAAATAATTAGAGTTGAAACAAGTTGTAATTGCGATTGAACGTGTAAAAGGATGTAGGAATGATTAAGAAGAAAGATTAAGAAGTGAAGGATGAAAGTAAAAATTAAAGGGGGGGAAAATAAAGGGAGTTGGCAATAAAGAATTAAAAAATATTCGAGAGAGAATAAAGGAAGTAAGGAATTAAAGAAAAAAACTAAAATTAAAAAAAATTTACAAGGAAAAAAGAAAAGAGAGTTAATAAAAATCCAAAAAATATGTAAAACTATAAACAAAATATAAAATAGTCACGAATAACTTTAAATTGATTACAATATTACAATTCTGAAATATCCACATCATAAAATTAATAAATAATTTCAAATAAAAAACTGAAACAAGGAGAACGAACAACGAATTACGAAATAAATTAGATAAAAATTTATTTGTTGGATCTCTTCAATTTCATCCAATTCCCCGTTATCCTAGTAAATCCACGGTTTAGAATTTCACATATAAAATTAGGTTTAGAATTTCATATTGAAATCTATTCGATCATTTGATACGCGGTTCTGCCTTCTCCTCGAAGCTTTTAAAGCGTTGCTTTCTGGATTGGAATACAAATGCACTATCCCTACGGAAGTATTATTCTTTTCCAGTTCCTTGGGGATATGGCTCGTTCGATTGAATTTAAGTGGAACTCTGTGCACGACGATTTCTTACGATGTATATCACGCGTGTCGATATCTAACCTGGATTATCGAATACGGAACGACAGCTTTCTTAAGTTAACGTGACGACAATTTTTTTTTTAAACGACATAACGTTATGCAGAGGAATCGATCGGGAGGATCTAGGATATCCGTGTGGAGTGAGGATATTGATTTACGTAGGAAAGGAAAGTTAAAAATTTGAAAATTCGGGAAAAATTTAAAAATTGCGTAGAAACGCGATTGAAAATTTAGGATTTAGGAGAGAGAATTAGATATATAAAATTGTTTTATTTATCGTTATGATTATTTATTGAAAGTAAGATTTCGAGATAGAAAAAAAGCGATGTAGGTGAAATTAAAGAAGAATTAAAAAGGAAAAGAATATATTAATTTATAAAAGTAATTCATAAATTTGTAAAAACGATCTAATTTATAAGTTATTTTTATAAATGAACGATGAATATCTAAAAATTGTTAAATAATTGATTAATTATTTTTATTTTAAAACTATTTCGTAATCATTCTTGATAGAAAATTGTATTTAGAATATTTTAATACGGCTTCTAATCGAAAAATAATACAAAAGAATTGTAAAATAAATTTTTACTTTATAAAAATATATTAAACATCATTTTTATTATAATAATAAATTGTTAAATAGTATAAATTAATAATAAAACTCGAAAAATTGTTAAATTACTGAAAGTCATATTTGAAAAATCAGTTTTCATACAATCGGTAAGGATCGTATATTTTCGTCAAGGTTCGTCGTCAGCGAGGTTCCGCTAATATAAGGCGCGTCGCGAGGTCGAGGTCATTATCTAACGAACCTTCTTGATAGATAGATCGATATTATAGCACTTTAACTAAATTTTTTTAATTTTTCACTTTTTTAAAATTTATTCTAAATTAATTTCATTATATTATAATTATATATTATATATTATATTCAATTAAATATTGTTTAATTAATAAATTAATACATTTATTTATTTTTTATTCTTTTTCTTATTTATAAATTATTTATTCATTTATTTATTTTTTAACGTACATATTTGTTCATTTATTTAAAAATTTATTTTTTATTATAAATTTATTTTAATTTATTTGTTTTATTTAAACATTTACTTTTTGATTTATTTATTCAGTTACTTTTTTATATTATATTTGTCCATTTTTTAATTTTTTTTATTTTTTAATTTTTTGCATCGACTTTTTAATTCTTCATTTACTTATTTTTTTTCTTACTTTATTTAAACATTT